TTGTGTCTCTGACACAAGTATTCAACCCTATCATTCTAGCACCAAACAGCCACCTAGACAGGATGGTTGTATCCCAACAACACATCACTTACAGAAACAGTCAGCAAGCCAGAGGTGGGCCACAAAGCCAATCCCTAGTCTAGGTGTGAAGAAGAGGCGATGTGGGCAAGACTGTAGAGAAGGTACTTCCAGAAGTACATTGCAGCATACCCCCACTGTCTCTTTACTGAGCCACAGCTCAAGCACATGCACTACCTACAGGGAGGGTTTAGGCTAGGCTCCTGTAGAAAACATGACAGGAGTGGTGGTATCCTGAGGCAATCCCAGTACTTGGGAGGCTGAGGCAGGAGGGGCTCAGATTGAGCCCATCCTGGACTACAAAGATGCTGTCTCAAAAGCAACATTGATTAGGTGAACACATCTGCCCATCTCTACTCCTCAAGTTATTTATCATTTCTTTAAAGAATCATTTGCTGTAAATAAATTTTAAAATGTTCGCCAAATAGGCATATTTGTTTTTAGAAAATGATAGTCTGCTGATACAGAAAATCACTGCTTTATAAGAAAAACCATACAACAAATTACTCTTCAAGTCTGCTGATAAATAAAACATCAATACTGATGATGCTAACTTCCCTGTGATGTTTATCAATAAAAAGCAGGCAGAGCAGCAATTCTGAAGTGCAGACACTACCAACAATAAACTGACATATTTTTCGGAAAATATAGGAATTCCAACTACACTTTCCTGCTCACAAAAAGCAGATGTGCAGAGACGCCACATGCTAGACAGTATTGGATTCTCAGTGGAAAACTGAGCCGGTACCCACAGCCAGCACAACAGTGTACACTAAACTCAACCCCATTTCCCTCAGGTACACAGGGAAACCCAGTTTCTTAACGGGTTGCAATGAAGATGGGACCTGACTGAACTCTGGCAAAAGGGACAAAGTGGACACAGAACACTGTCTGGCACAGCAAAAACATTACAAGGAAGTTCTTAAGAAGCCTCATTCCTGAGAGACTGCACAAGCCAAGTAACTCCATGGAGCACCCACTCACTCCATTCCCCTCTCTCTGAACTGCCTAGAAAAGCCACTATGATCTGGAATTACCACAGTTAATAACCTACCCTAATACCAAGTTCTTACAGGCACTAGAAGTGTGTCATTTATATTATAATATTAAATTTAATGACCCTATAAAACTCATTTTTTTTAATATTAGCACCAGGGACTGAACACAGGACCTTGCACACACTAGGCAAGTACTCTACCACTGAGCTACATCCTCACTCTCTTTATTTAAAAACTTTTTCAACACTGAGAAAGGATCTCATTAAATTGCACTGGCTAACACACCTGGTCTCTCTTTAGATTTTAAACAGTGCTCGTATAAAAATAAACATGTGTCCACCTTCTTCCTGGATCCATTTTCAGTCTACTAAAAATATCTTCACAGTTCACACTGGATGGTAGTAGGAGACAGAATGAAAGTAACATTTTAGGGAACCGACCTGCTCTCCTGTGTTTGCTCAAAGTTTCTAACATGTACTGTCTGCCAAGCCTTGTGCTGGAGATTAAGATCAAAGTGATGAACGAAATGCATAGCCTGCCCTCAAAACATTCCTGATGGTAGGAGAAAAAATGACTAAGCTATGAGTGAACGACGGGAATGTTCCTTCAAAATGCTAAGACTGCATCAGAAAATGGGGCAGCTCAAGAAGCTACCAGTGCTCCCTAGCAGAGGGGGACAGGCTTTGGCAAAGCAGGGCGAGTTACCGTAAAGAACCAAATTCGTAACCTCAGGAAAGTGTGCAAGGAACCTTGCTCTGTGGTGAAGCAGTCCACATAAACCTAACCAATTTTCTCATTGCTTTTCTACCAAGGCTATAGCAACAATTCCAGAAAGACGCAAGATGAAGCATATTTTGTGATTTCCAAGTGGTTTTTCCAGGTGGATGTTATATAAACAAAAAACAAAAACTCTAACTCCTAAAAAAAATTGTTCCTTAGTACACTCAAGATGCAGAGGGGCATAAAGAAAATTCTCCAGTTCTAATCACAAACCTTGCTCACTCCCGTGCTAACGCAGCTCCCAGGTTCCTGCAATCACTGGTAACAGTTCACTCATCAGGTTCATGGCTACACAGTTTACCTTGAGCATTACTCAGTATCATCACAAACATGGGTCACAAGGATCCAGGAGACCCTGGAAGCAGGTTTACTTAGCATACTGGAAAAATAATTTACAACACTCGAGTCTGTAACTTCAGAAGCACAGGTCTGTATGCCACTGTAAGAGTTTTAAATGATCCACATAGCTGAGAGACAATACCTGGAGGGCACACGGGAATTCTAGACACTACTGGGTAAAGACAACATGATTCTGGCAATATCCTCCCCAATTCCAAAAAGCTACTGGCTGGAAACTAGGAACTGTGCTCTTTTCTTCTACTTAGAGTCAATTGTTTATACACTAGTAATTGGAGCTGCCCATTTACTGTAAATGTTTTACATTGACCACAAAGATGGCTTGTGACACACAAAGCGTAATTTCCCAGGAACCCATACGTCTGTCCTCACATCTGGTGACTCGTAAACACTAAGAAAAAAAGTCTTAAAATTAAAAAAAATCTATACTTCGGGTGGGAGAAATGGCTCAGGGGTTGAGAATACTTGGTGCTCTTGCAGAGGACCTGGGTTCTGCCCCAGTACCCACATGGAGGGTCACAACTGCCTGTCACTTCAGATCCTGGGATCCAATGTCTTCTTCTGGCCTCTGTGGGCCTCAGGAATGCACATGGTATACATACATACATGCAGACACTCAAATATACACATAAAATAAAAATAAGTAAATCCTTGAAAATTTTATTTTTACACTTTCAATCATATAGCAAATAATAGAGGCCTAATTTTGATAGAAGTATCAGTTATATTAAAGTCCCCAACAAAACTGAAATCTATCAAAAGACTACATTCCCTATTACAGCCCATGGCAGTCCAGGTATGAACACAGCCCAAGTACAAGGTAATTAAAGACTTGAGATACTTATTTTTTTCATATGCTGACATAATTTTAAAACATTATTTGCCAACTATTTCCCATCTTCTTGATTTTCACTGACTTTAAAATTAACAAGAGAAAAAAAAAAAATCAGGAAGGCGGGGCGGGGGGGGCTTCCATTTACTCCTGTAGCTTGTAGCTAGGAACTGATGAGATAAATGTGTTATGTTAGGCAGACCAGGAGAAACACCAACATGTCTTCAAACAGCACATCAAAACTATGAACTCTTCAACAGAATATTGATACATGGGATGTTTGTTTCTCTGGCCATTCCTAAAATTACAGCAAATCCCCATCTGATGATAAAAGCCAAGCAGTATGAGCACTTCCCCTGGCAAGTTCAGTGCAGATTTTAACCTGTCACAGAAGATGCATACATGACAGAGAGGTGGGAGACAAAGAGCCCAGAAGTGGCTGCTGAGCTACATTTCCTGTTTACAGTGGGACAAAAGCAGCAAAGCATTGATTCTGAATAAAATATGTGAAAACTTCAAACAAAACAGAGGTCACAGCTCCCTTTCTACAATTCCTGGGACCGAAAGAGTTTCAGATTTCAATTTGGGGGGATTTTAGAATATCTGCATAGAGTTTACATTTTGAGTATTAGTAACCCTCAAATCCAAAATCTGAAACTCAGAGTTCCATCTGCAACGAAAACATTAATACTACTGCCCATACTTCTATAGAAAAGCATTATCAGGCCGGGCATGGTGGCGTACACCTGTAGTCCCAGCACTTGGGAGGCAGAGGCAGGCAGATCTCTGTGAATTCGAGGCCAGCCTGCTCTACATAGTGAGCTCCAGGCCAGCTGGGGCTACAGGAGACACTGTCTCATTAAAAGACCAAAAAAAAAAAAGGAAAGCATTATCAGGCTTCAGATTCAGGCTTCACCATCTATGGGCTCCCTATTGAGGGCCTGGCTTTGTACTACACACTTCATGTATTATTTACCCTCACTGAATCCTACCAACTACACTATTATTTCCTTTGCTTCACAGTTGCAGATGCTGAGCTCTACAGAGGTCATAACACCACAAAGCCAGGATTCCCACTCAGGGCTATTATATTTTACAACTGGAAGAAAGCTTTCCATTGCACTGCAAACTACTCCATCTCTACTCTACCATGCTCTTCCATAATTACTCAAAGTTTCATGAAGTTCATCCTAGTCTTTACTCGAAGCTCTTTCACCAGGCCCCCCATCATTCACTTGCACAAAGTCCATAATTATACTGAGACACATGTAGTTTCAACTTTTACTGTGGGACAAGTACCAGCATACACATATTTGAAGAACTTGGGAGTTTTAAAAAAATCTAACCTTTACCATCTGATTATTCCTATGGCTGTAAGTCACCAGAGCGTACTCACTGGTGGACTTGCTATATCCTCAAGGGTCACTGGAGTCCAGGAAACATTCCCAAATCAAAATTATTTCCAATCAGCCAATTAATAAGGAGAGTTAGCATCTATTATGAGGCCATTAAGACTTCAGCCGTCTTTGTTAAAGAAAGCACGTGATCTGCTTTTGGTCCACTAACGTTCTTCAGTCAGCCCATGAGTTAAGCCCTGGGAAGTACCTAGAAACATATTTCTGGCTTGAAATATATTTTTAATATCTATAGCTTATTCATTCTCACAAGGTCTCATATAAAACCAGGCTGTTTTCTCTAAAACTTGTGATTTCTAGCTCCCATACATAGTAAGCAGTAGTCTAGAAGAATAAGAACCCTTTCCTTCCAAGGTAAAACATCCAATTCCAAGAATGTATACAAGCAACACTGTTGGCTCTATGATGAATTACAAACGTGTGTGCATGTGTTTGGTGTATGTTTGCATGTGTGTTTATCCATGTGTTTAAGAAGGAATATTTGCTATTTCCAAGTATAAGGTTTTCCCAGCAGCACAGATTTTTCCTCAGTAAGCTTACCTTGAAGATGGCAACAGAGTTGAAGCCCTGAATTTTGTTGTAAACGGATTGGTTGACTCATAATCAAAACAGTCCTGCCGATTTTCACTAAATGCATTAGGTGATTTCAAGTCAGAGGGGCTATCAGAGCCCCCGTTGAGCTTATCGGCGCGCCTGCTGTCTTTCTTCCCAGTCACTCTTTCAAAGAGGCTCACTTTCTCCCTTTTCTCTCTCTTATTTTCTTTCCTCACTTCAATTGCTTTTGAAAATAAATTCACACCACTGTCCCATGACTCACTGCTTTCTTCAAACGGATTTTTCTTCCTTGGCAGTGTTGCAAATTTTTGGGGTAATGAAGCAGTCACGTTTGTAAATGGGTCATTCTGTCTCCCGAAAGAGGGTTCACCTTCATCCACAATGCTGTCACGTTGGTTCAGTTTAGAAGTATCGAAGCTCAGTGTTCTTCTGTGTGGAGACTTGAGACTTCCTACAAATAATTTTGTTGTTAATACGTGACTGGTGACACATGCCATCATACTACCTGACACATTCTGTGTGGATTCTGCTGCTTTTAGAGTGAGAGCAATTAACTAAAGATATTAACCCTCAAAATTATCAAAGAAAACAACCTTAAAATTAGGTATAGCATTCTAAAGAAGGTAGCTAATAATAATTAGTGTGTTGTTAGACAATTAGTAACTAACTTGGAGCAGAACCATTACATGAGCAAAGTATAATGTCAAACTAGAGACTCTGCTGGCATGATTACAATGGAAATTCCCAGACTTTTCCATCATTAGAAGTAAATTTACTTTCCTCTCAAAACAAACATTTTTCTAGGAATGCTATAATGAAAGGGAATGTTCATTTATGCTGCAGGGGTGTTTGGTCTGTGGCCACATGAGTGTAGAGGCCAGAGGTCAACCTTAGGTGTCTTTTTTCAGGAGTCTTACACCTTGTTCTCACTCTGTACTGGAGCTTACCAACGCTCACCAATAAATCCCTTGGATCTACCTGTCTCTAAGTTCTCAGCACTGGGATTACAAACTGGCACCACCAAATGCCTGACTTTTTGAATATGGATTCAGGGTAACAAACTCAGTTCCTCATGCTTTCAAGGCATGCACTTTACCAACTGAGCCATCTCCCTGGCTCTGTGAGAAAGTGAAAAAAGAGATCAGGCCACCTATAAATAGAGGGGCTGGAGAGAGGGCTCAGCAGTTAGGAGCACTGGCTGCTCTTGCAGAGGACCTGGGTTCGCTTCCCAGCACCCACATGGTGGCTCACAACCACCTGTAACTCCAGTTCCAGGGGATCTAACACCCTCTTCTGGCTTCCTTTGGCACTGCACACATGTGGTACACTTACCTATGTGTAGGCAAATATTCATACACATCAAATAAATGAATCTTTTTTAAAAGTTCTATAATATAAATACAAATAGAAACAATCTGAGGATCAGTAGATGCTTGGTCAATATTTAACAAATGCCTGGTGTTAGTAAACACTACCAAGAAACTGCAATTTTTATTTTCAACTTTAGAATGTAGACTTTAAAGAGGGCCACTGAGACCCATGAGGACAGACTGGAGATGAGATGCCACTTACCACTTTCTGGAACAACTCCAAAGGGATCTATCTGGCGGCTGAGAACATGTGTCGGGCCTATGGCGCCAGACTTCAGCTTCTCTGAAGACACGTGGGACCCAGTTAAATCAGACATGGAATGCGCAGAAGAGAGCCGCTGAGGACCCAAAAGAAAAGGCTTCTTTGGTTTGGATTTCATCTGCATTTCACCACTTGAAAATTCAGTACTGGTATTGGGCATGTGAGTACTTGGAATGATGGCGGAAGATGTATCAGAAAACGTTCCGTCATTTTTTCTCCCTTTCATTTTATCTTTTAATTTTGCAAAAGGAGATCTTGTTTTATCCTTCATCGACAAGTCAAACATACTTGCTGTCATATTGTTCCTCATAAACTGAATATTGACCTTTATCTCACCCCTGTTTTTTATTCTTTTTCCTTGTTTGGATTCTAATCTAAACCACCTTAAAGAGAAGGGAAAAAAAAATCGGTTGTAACACATATGAAGACAGCAAGCTTTGTTGTATCCAACTCTAGGTAAAGTGATCACTTATCTCGCAATCTAAGCACCAAATGACAATCTGTCAACTACAGTGTTTCTGGTTTTACTCTTATTAAAAAGAAAAGGAAGAACAAACAAACTGGTCCTGGTTTTGCAGCAAGACAAACCCAAAGAAACAGTCTTTGGAGAATACACCGAGGGTTGTAGATAACCTTTCCCCTCATTATTCAAAAGTCATCAATCAGTAAAAATTCTTATCAACAATAGCTAATTATGTTTCCATATGGGATAAGTGTTACTAATGGCCTGAGGACATTTATACATTCAAAAACACTGAGCCAGAAACTTGGAAAGAATTCATCACTTCAAATTATTTCTGAGTACCACAAAATGACAAATGATGACATTTTAAATAAAGCAATACTTAGTCCCATCCCCTAATATGATTTATATGACTATTATAGGAATTTTATTATCAATGGAAACTACTACATACAGTTTGCTCATCAAAACTGCAAGTGATGTCATTTAGAGTCCTATGAAATGGATCTAAGTCTTTTCCTGATTATGTGAAATAAGTAAAATTTAACAAGTGGTAAACAAGACATTTTGTGAAGTTTCAAGAAAAAAGCTCCCATATTCCTGTCAGGAAGCTACTGATGCTACTGAATAAAAAGGCTGATGAATGAGGCCAGACGGCCAGCTTTGGGCCCTGCTCCCAATGCTGCCAACTCTCAAGCGATCTATAAGACATAGGGCTTATTTTGGTTTTGTTTACAGTTTTCCATAAGAATTTCTCCAGTTGTTGGTGTCACTAGTGGGCACTCCACAGGGCAAAGAGCCAAGAAGCCTGCAGAATCAAGCCTGAAGGAGTTGCTGCACTGTCTGCACATCCTTCTGCACATGTCTTTAGCCCCATTCTAAAGACATGCTATTTAAATATAGCTCAAACAGAGGGGAACACATTTCCTTAGCTACAAAGCAACTCTGACCTAATTTTACATTTGTTCCTTTTCTCATTGTTGCCAACAGGATATGGCAAGAGATGAGTGAACTTACTTAGTATGTATGCATCAAGCTGAGGACCAGCTCCCAGGAAGGACCAAGAATGGATATACAATCTACATCAGGTTCACACACAATCTACATCAGGTTCGCATACAATCTACATCAGGTTCCCAAGGGTGGTTTCTTGATTAACTAATCGAAACCATTCAATCAATTACTATATGCAGCATGGGTGCCCAACAGTTCCTTACAGTACAAAATTTTATAATATAAAGCATTATTTTGAGATCCTAAATTAAGAAAAATTTTATATAAGGTAAATGGTGAAATCTAAAAAGAAATGGGACCAAGAAGAAAGGACTGCAACGAACTGTGGACAGAGAGCCCTGAACCCACACACAAGCTCTCAAAACCTGCAAATGCAGTGCGGCTGAGTACCCAGAACTGACTCGTGGTTTTGGAAAACAGCGCCATTTTTTTTTTTCATTTACATGTTTTTTAAAATTTTTAATTGAACTTTTGTGAATCTCATACAATATATTTTGATCATATTTTGACCCTCCCCTATCTACACCCCTTTTATAGGCCCCTGCACCGGATGTCATGTACAACAGTCACCCATTTTCAATGAACTGAGAAACACTTTTAGATGGGTGATATGAGAAACACTCTAAAATCTGAGGCGTCATGGAACAAGGATGAAAACTTAAGAAATGCGCCCCCAAGCAAGCAACCAAAACCTAGCAGAAGAAAGCAAATCTAAGAAAATGTATTAACAATCCCCAAAATGGAAGGGGGTGAAGATGGTCAAAATTCATACAATCTTTGAAGTAAGGTCAAATCCTCCACTCCTCATTCAGACACGAGGAAACCGAGGCACAGAGCAGGACATGCCACTTCCCACGTGGATGTCGGTAAGAGAAACATCTAAAGCTGATGAGTAGCATCTGCGGGAAAATACAAGCTCTTCCTCATCTGATGAAGCACATGTGTTAATAAGGTTAGCCACATGGCTGTCACACATTACAGAATGCTGCATTTAATCAAGACGCACGAGAGCCAAAGAGGGAGGCAACCCAGACCCTCGTGCTGGAGAGCAAGCTCCCTGAGGGCAGCTTGCCCTGAACAAACAGTCCACTCTGGTTTTTATTTCTACAACCTTATTCCTAAACTCACCAAGCTACAACTCCAAACGTTGTGTATTTTACCGTTTTGTTCTTTAGTAGGAACTGCTAAACACCTACATAAGCTTTAAAGAATAAAACAATGCTGCATTTGAATATAAACTGTAAATTTTTCCACCCTCCTCCAAAAGAAATACCTGCAAAGAACTCTGACAAACACACTAATTTCAAAGGTAGGCCTCACAAGTAACTTTAGCTGCTCTGTTTCGAAACTAAGAGAAGAAGGAAAGTCTTAATGAGAACTTCAAGAATCCTTCCTGAAACAGTGTCTTCTCAGGCTTTAAACAGACAAAACGAAGACACAGCACTTGGCGCTGGCTGGGTTAATGCTGCTGCTTTCCCACTTCTGAAGCGCTGGGTGGAAATGGTGCGTGGCCTCTGTTCAATTTTCAGTGGGCACAGGTCCATGTTCAAAACCACCACACATGTGGGAGCGATTCCCAAGCAAGTGGTGCTATGTGGTCAGAAACCGGACAAGGCTGGCAGTGAGGGTGCCAGAGGCCAGGAGGCAGGTGCAACAGAGACCCCCACGCAAAAATCTACATACGTACGACCCACCTAACTTGGGACTGATATTAAGTTTCATGAACACTGAAAAAAAAAATCACCTACTTCAATATAAAAACAAAAAACCAACGGATATTACATAATAGCATCAATGATTTTCCTATTCTATCATTAAACATTATATTAGTCCCTTAAATCTCATGCCAGAACCAATCCAGACATCTATTAAAGGGGGGAGATGCAAAGTTTTCTTTCCACTGAAAGGGTCTGGCTTGGGCCCTCCCCTCCTCACCCCATCCCCATCCTTTAACAGAAAAAAAAAATTTCAAAGTGGAAGAATAAGTTAAATATTTTTAACCATAATTCTTTTTTGCCTCTCATGACACAACTGGAAGACAAGATGTAAATACTTGTCATTTTCCCTGTCAAAAAGTGCAAAGTGTCACACCCAACAGTTTCATGGGATGTCTAGATCAGCTGGTAGCCTTCATCACTCATTTCAGTGTTCCAAAAAGCACTTGGGAATATGCTGAGAAGGGTTAGCAATGTGCAGAATATTAAATACCTTTCTTTAATACACTGGTGGCTCAAGTCTGTCTCTTACTATGCCACATGCACAGCTGGGCTGGAAAAGGAAGCTATTAAATATATTAAAAATCTAGAAATATTACCAATAAAGATACCTCATCAAATACGCAGTACCAATTTAGTTACCAAAAAAAAAAAAAACTTAAGGGTTTAATAACATAATATCCAAAAATCCCTTTTCGTGCAATAACATCACAAGCTCTGTTGATAACATTTCAAAGCATTTCCCCTCCCCAAATTCTCATTGATTTTATAGAGACTACGATATTAGAACACTGTTCATGGCCAAATTTACTGTAACTGTGATTCTGAAAGAAAGAAATAAAACAGGAAGAAATTTTAAAAGGTTATTTGGTCCACAGGATCTTTGGGTCCAGACTTAGGCCTACATAAATTTGGAAAATTTAAGTTCCAGAGGCATGCAGTGTATTTTCATTAACAGTAAGAGTATGGTAAAAAAAATCTGAAGTTGCAATATACTTAAAAGTGTATATTTAAAACACTTTCACAGTATACACAAGTTGCCCAAAACTGACAATTTGAGACAAATTATTTGGTTATTGGTTAGATTGGTCAGTTTTCATTTTAAATCTGATGAAGAACCCTTCAGAAGAAAGTGAAGGCCACGTGTTAAGTATCAGTTTTGTTATTAAAATCATTAAGTATGCAACTTTACTTTAAAAAAAAAAAAAACTTTTTCTTTTTAAAATATTTGTGCCTCCTCAGTCTGAATATTTACCATTTTTTCCCTCTTGCATTCCTAGCATTTTATCCTACACACACTAAATCTTAGTAAAAGACTTGATTCAAAACAAAACAAAAAATTCCTATTAAAAGAAGTCAGCTGGCAGGTATTACAGAAAAAAAAATCAAGAGACAGTTATTTTAAAATGTAAGAAATTAACATAAACTTAAATTATCACTATAAAAAAGTTTTCTAAAGGCCACATAAACTTCAGTTAGAGCTGTAAGGAACACCAAAGCTTTTTGGAAAATCTGAAGTCCTCTTGGAAGTTCCACTCATTCTTCACCCATAAATTCCAGTGACCTTAATGTCCTCTCAGATTAGAAAAAAAAATGTAGTTAAGAGATGAGGTGAATCTATCTACATTCCGAAACACTGTCCTTTTTTTCGACTTAGGACATAACATCCTGGTGTTAATTTGTATTATGATTTCTTAAATTAAGAATATCTAACTCAAGTTTGAAAGTCATATTTTAAAAGCCATGTTTTCATTGAAGAAGTCATTAAATCACTTCATCACAAGAATTTAATCACTGTCTCCAATCTTACAGCAGTTAATGCACTCTAAACACACCAGCTTTGCTGAACTAATTCTTTGGTAAACAATAGCCCCACTATACTGCAAATTCAAAGGAAAATGTTAGTGGGTTCAAGACTGAAGATGTTTGTGCGTACTCCCAAAACTTTTTTTTTCTTTTAACAACTTTCTTCTCCATCAAGATGTACTGACCCTGAAAACTGGGGAGCAAAAATAAAGGCCAATTGTGTTTATAAAGCTGATAAAATTCAGTAATTTTATCTTTTGACAGTCACAGTGCTCAACACACATAGAAATATTTCGCTGATTTTAATTTTCTGATTATGGAAAATGGCAATGTTTAAAGATAATTTATACCTATATTAGTTTTAGTTGGTGAACACTGCTCCAGGCCTCTTACAGAAAGTATTAACTTTCAAAGTATTCCATTATTTAAGAGATGCTTACCTCAAACAAAAATGAGAAAATGGGTTAATCATTCCACTTTAAAAAAAAATGCTTCATAGCAAAGGCTATTTTTTACTTCAAAGTCATGCAAATAGTGCTTAAAAATGGGTCATATTTCAATTCCAAAGACCAATGCCTCAAATACATAAGAACAGTAAATCCATATATATGTTTAAGCTCCCCCAAATTCAAAATAAATTACGTAACTTACTCTGTTTTCCTTCTTTGTTTGTCCTCAAAGATGTCATTGAGATTAATTGCCACCTGCCCTAAAAACTTATCCAGCCCCACCAGGGACCTGTGCATCACTACAAGGAAAAGAATGTATTTCTCAGGATTGCCCTGCATGAGCATCCCGGGCAGCTCAAAGGAGGCCTCCTCCTTCCAGACCGGCTCCAGGGTTTTCTCGGCTACGGACGTGGAGTATTTTTCCTTGCCCAACTGAATTATGGTGTATGTGTCATTGGTGCCACTTTTGCCTTTTGGCTTCAGATCTTTAGCTTGGAGCACTGTGACCTGCACGTGGGTTGGAAACCACTTTTGGGCTTGCTCGGACAGCATCATTCTGTCCCCCTTTTATTGTTGTTTGGATTTGTTTGTCCGTGCACCGAGTTCAGGAGCGCAGGTGGTGCCCCTCCCGCAGGGAGAGCCCGACTCCCTGATCACAGCATCCTCAAGCGCACTTCGCCGAGCTCGGGGCGGGATGGGGGGTGCTGTCCCCGATTTCCCTATGGGCTGAGGTCAAAGAGCTCGGCGGGGCCAGTGCCGGGACCCGGCCGCTCGGGGGTCCCTTTCCTCCGCAGAAGCACAAGGGCCCACATCACCTGGCCGCGCCGTCCAGGCCTCCGCGCGGACTCCCGCGCCTCGCGTAGCCACCGTCCCGGGGACGGTCCTCGGCAGCCGGCGGCGCCCGGGGCCTGCGGCCGGCAGGCAGCTAAGGCCCGACCGAGCGCCTTGGAAGTAGGAGCGCCTGCGGCCTGCGTCCCCGCCGCCGAGCCGCCTCCGCCGCGCGCGGGCCCGGCTCCTCCTTCGACCCCGCTGATACGAACCGCCCGCGGCCCGCGCGGCCTCGCTCGCACGCTCTTGCCAGCCTCTTGCTCCGCCCGCTGCTCGGCGTCGCAGCTCCTCCTCCCGGGCGGAGGTGGGTCACGCTGACCGGAGCGAGGCGGGCAGACGCGGCCGTCCCTAGCGGGACATGAGGCCTGAGCCGTGGGCTGCAGGGCAACGGGACCGCGGGGCCGAGGCCTGGCCGGGGACCCTCGGCTCCTAGCGCCCGGAGGGCGGCGGCCGCGCCACTTCCGGGTTCTCTGGCTCCATGTTGAGCTGGGCTGCGCGAGGGGCGGGGCCGGGAGGGGTCGGGGGTCAGCGCCTCCCTGGTTGCCGTGGCAACGGGGCTGCGCGGCGCGGAAGGCAGGGGCTGGGATGCGCTAGCGGGAGTGCGGGGCTGTGGTTCCGGCGGACGTCTGCGGGGCCTTGCTGGGTGGTATGAGCTGGCAGCGGCCGACCGGAGTGCCCCGAGAGGCGGGCGCCAGACCCTGCACACCGCCTGCACTTGGGATAGAACCAGTTTCCATCCTGGAAGGCAGGTTGTGTGTCCTGGCTGTGCTGTGGACGCCCAGGGCCTGGAGTAGAGCTGCTGTTCCGGTGCATGGTGGGGGAGCCCATCCTTCCTCTTCAGTGACCCAGACACACTTCTTGCCAATCCTCCTCCGTTCTTTTTGAAGAGGAACCTTTCAACTGACTAAAGAGGACCTCGAAAGCCCAGACCAAAGGCGAAGGAAGCAGATCAAAGATTCCAAAGCTACCAGGGATTAATAAAGATCAGGGAAGGCATTGGGCTGGCGTCAGAAGACCTGGGTCTGTTCTCATGTCTGCTGCCGTCAGTCTGTGGGACCTCCTGAGTCAAGCTGTTTTCCCTCCCGAAGTCCCAGTTGCTACACTGATTAAACAGGTCTCCTTTGGGTCTCCCACCCAAGTGGTGAGTGTAGAGTCCACGTTAGAAGCATGCCCTGAGCACAAGCAGTGGTAGAAACCAAGTTCCAACTCCAAAAACATGAGATGAGTATTGTGGGATCTTGAGCGGCCCTTTCCCCACTCATGCTATGGCAAATGCATCTGTCTCCCTCTGTTTCACAATTACAGGAGACACTTCCTCTGTGGCCTTTATTTCCATTTCTGTCTTTTCCTTCCCAGGAAATTCTAAAGTTCTTTGGACCGCTTTGCAGCTTGTCCAGCCTGCAGCCAAGGATAGCTAACCAATTCGACCCAACACGGCATAAATTTACTGAAACCTTAGATTTTTTTTTGCGTGTTGTAACTGCGTTGTACCTTTCTCCAAGGGGGACTTTGTAGGTAGATGGCAATGTCCTGTAGCAATGTCAGGTTGAATATCCCCCAAAGTCTCATAGCCCTAAGCAACAAGTAGGCATGATAGCCAGTTTGTTGACTGACTTTTCTCCCTTTACTTGACTAATTTTTTAGAGTAAAACAGTATGATAGATGGGAATGTGTTTTTCCAACTTAAAATGGCTATAAACTATAAGGTATTGTGTTTATTGTTTTCAGACTAGGTTTAAATCTTCTGCAGCAGAGGCAGAATTTTTCATCCCCAGGAGAGTGTTTGAAAAGGCCACGTGTACAAAATCATTGTGCTGCACATGCAGCACCTGAGTCCCAGAGTGAGCAGTTGTCAACTTTAAAGAAAAACATTCTTAGGAATTTGTAAAGAGGGCATTGAAACAGTCAGTGCTGGAATTTCACCAGCAACTCTAGAGAGAAATAATTTGACACCTGAAATTTGCAGAAAAAAATAAGTATCATAAAACCAATTTAAGTTTAGAAGTTTTATAAATTGCACTTTTAAAGGCTTCACATCCCTATTATAGTTGCAGTTAAATAAACAATAGGCACTTAATTATAATAATGGATGTGTGTTTCTGGAGAGCTTGAATTGTTTGGTAAGCTTTACTCATGATTATAAACTTGTTTACAAGTATCATTTCACTCATCTCTGAAATATAGCCATCTCTAGGGTGGAAGTTGGCAGCAGTTCACAATAATGCAGTACAGACTCCAACACAGTCCAGAAAATTCTCTAGGAGCTGAACAACTGAAATTACTATCCCCTCTTCCATCACCCCTAAATATCTTTCGAATTTTCCCAGAACTTAGCTATAGCCAAAAATCACTTAATATTCTTATCCAGCAAGATCAGAAGTTATGACTTAATGGTTTTAAGCCAGAATAAGAAAATAGCTTTTTTTTTTTTGCTCATGGGGAAACAAATACACAAATCATAAGAACCAAAGACAATCTGGAACCACATTGTACAGGGAGGTAATTTCCTAGAGTGTTCCTTTATTCTTGCATTACTACATCAAGAAAATAAAACATGGGGCTGGAGAGATGGCTCAGTACTGACTGTTTTTGCAGAGGATCCAGGTTCGATTCCCAGCACTCACATGGCAGCTAACAACCACCTGTAATTCCAGTTCCCAGGGATCCAACACCTTCTGACCTACATGGGAATTTCATGACATGACGTGGATGCATGCACTTACATACATGCAGACAATAAACTCATACACACAAAATAAAAAATAAAATATGTTTTAAAAGAAAAACATGTCAGTTGGGTAAAGCATTTAGTTGGCTCATAGGGAAATATAATGGTAGTTATATAAAGCATGAGATCAAACTTTACTTTTTTACAGTTTAATTTTTTATTACTAATTTTAAGATCTATATGGATCATAATTTTAAAAGGTTGAAGAACTGCATGAAAAAGGACAATTTTCCAAAATTGAAGAGAGCTACATTTTATTATTTTTATGTTCTTACTAATGATCTGTCAAGAAATCTTCGATATAATTCCAAAATTGAGGGTGTGGGGGGAATATTTTATAGGAAGAAAATATTGGAAATTCTAATTTTAAAGTGTAAACAATATTTGCTACAATGAGAATAGTTTGAAAAGAAAGATAAAGCAATCAGCACCCCCCCAGGAGATAAAGTGATCAGCATTATTCCTCCAGAGTGGAGGCTTTACAGAGGAAAGTGCTGCGCTTTCAGGAAAGTCCCACGAGGGAGTTCCTTTGAAGGGTTGTGGAAGATTTTTCCTGTTGGACATCAGCACCTCAAAACTCTAGTCTTGCAAATCTCCTGTAGGACAATTACAGAGCTCTCAGTGTTTAAACAGTCCACTGGGTCCAGAGTATTAATGCTCCAGTACACATTATGTAATCGGTATATTAATTGTTTTCCAGATGGAGATGAAACCTAAGAAGCCTTTTCAAGGTATTACAAAAATCTTCAAACTTCATATACATATACAACTGAAATAGATAGGTCATTTGTGTGTACATGCAACAAAGCTCCTGAGTTATGTTGAAGGCACTTGAATCCATGTTCACAGACAGTTAAAGTAAGAAAGGAATAGGGAAATGACTCAGCGGGAAAAGTACTTGTGGTACATTCCTGAAGACCCGGGTTGTTACCTCAGACCCCACTTAAAGAAACCAGGTGTGTTGGTATGAGTTTGCAATCCCTGACCACTGGGCTGATGAGTCTGACTTGTGGGACTGGGCAGTATGAAGATGCAGTCTGTGATACATAGACATAACATGGGATGCAGTGTGCAGAGCCCGAGCCGGTACCCTGGGTCTCGATCTTGGCTTTGCCTGTTACTAGCTGTGTTATCTTTAGGAAGTCATTTTCTACCTTTGAGCCATTTGTAAAATCAGTGTCTGTCACAGCAGCCACCAAAGCATCCCTTAGCATTAATAATTCTAACTAGTCCACCCCCAGCACAAAGAAGCAAATTGCATTATAATTACCTAATTAAATGCAGAAAATACACTAAGCAGATATCCTTTTCATGTAATTTGTTAATGAAAGATCCTCTAATTTGGGAGAAATATATATACATTTTCTTTAAGATATCCCAAGCATTCTCTCTCTCAAAAGCAATTAATGATCAGAGAGAGAAGAAGCAAACATATAACTCTTATTAGTAGGCCCTGCATGAAGAATATTGACACTAACGGCTCAAGAAATTACATGTATGGCAAGTGGTTCTGAGAAGTCTTAAACTTTTCGCTCATGGTAATCAGTATAACTTCTGTTCATAGAATCTGTAGGTTCTTTGAACTGAGAAGACATGTTGAGGAGGGAAAGAATTTGTGCAACAGAATGCACATTTCACATAAGGATGTCTCATGTGAATGACTTTCAACTTCTTGTTTATGGTCTCATAATATTGTTGGACAACTTTTGTTCCCTCAACAAAATCAATGTATATGCATGCATAGAACAGGAATGTATTTACTTTAACTATATTTACTATATGGTACTGGTTGAGATGAATTAGCCCCATTTGATCTTTTGTCCTTCCGAAGAACATTTAAGTTGTTTCCAATTTTTCAACTATCATAAACAAAGCCTCATAGATATACAACTTATGTCTCCCTATGTATACTTGCCAAGTTTTTGTAGTCATACCTATTTTTAATTATATTTAGCTATCCATCTATCTATCATCTATCTATCTATCTACGTATCTATCTGTGGAATCATGTGCCCATACCATGCATGGGGAGGTCAGAGGAAAACTTGGAGTAGCTTTTCCCCTTCTACCATGTGGGTCCTAGGGACCTAGCTCACGTTGTCAGACTTGGTGACAGGTACCTTTACCCACTGAGCCATCTTGCTGGACCCTCGTATGTTTTTTAAACAGTCATGAAACTATTGGAAGTTTGTAAAAATGAGAGGCACTCATAGTCCCACCCACCAGAAGACCCTTGTTCTACAAAGCAAAGAGCTGCAGACCTGGTAAACTATAATCTGTCCGTGCCTTAATAGCCCCTTCCAACTTCAAATTTCTCAAAGTCCTGCTCACTGAAAAGCAGAAATTGTTTGTTCTTGGAAATGACTTAGAGAATACCTAGTTCTTTCTTTTCCAGCTGTCTCATCATGAGTCTTTGTGAAGTCATTGGGATGTTACTACTTAGTGTTTTAGGTGGAATTCAATGACTGAAGAAACGATTATTATTGAAAGAAATGATCATCAGAGTTACATAAACTCATCATCCCCACCAGTGAGATGGCTCAGAGGGTAAAGTGCTTGCTGTAAAAACCTGACAATCTAAGGCTGACTCTCAGAACCCATGAAAAGGTGGAAGGAGAGAACTGATCCACAGAGTTGTCCCATGGTCTTTACACCTATGCATGGCATGTACATTCATCCAAAATAAACTCATCATTCTTGTTCTTTGAGTGGAAAAAAAGGAATTTCTTC